AAGATTGGCTTAGGAGTCAGGAATGGTGTGAGGGGTCTCCTACAACCATTAGCACCAACACGAGTCAAAAAATCTTTCGAAACCGTGTCAAATATAGCTCAAATCAAAAAATTCCCCAAACTGCAGAACCCTAACCCTTGGCGCAGAAAAGACTTACCCACATCTCCATGTCCATGCTGCAACCCATGTCTAGGTCGTCGTACATGTTGTCCTCCCCGTCCTTCCATGACGGCATGGCTCATTGGCGACGAGCAGTGAGGTTGGCAGCGACGTCAAGCTGAGCAGAGAGATAGGGAGACTGGGCAGCCGAGGAGAGAGAGAGAGAGAGAGAGAGAGAGAGAGAGAGAGAGAGAGAGAGAGATGCATGCCCTTTTGATCATGCAGGGTGACAGAATGCTCACTGGCGACGTGTGATGCGTTGATCGGCGCGTGGAGCTGAGTAGACGAACAGAGAGAAGAGTGATCGACCAAGGGGAGTGGGCGACTCCGAGAGAGAGGGGCTCCGACCCTTTTGACCTCTCAGGGTGATGGTTGTTAATCGCCACGCCTGAGTGCTGACGTACCTGACGCGTGGGCCCGATCTGTCATAAACCTGGTCAAAGCTTAATGATTTGGTCATCGGTGCTTTTTGAAATAGAAAACCAAATTTGTGATAGTTTTCAGTGAATTGTAGAAAACATATAATTTTTTGAACCGTAACTTCAATACCGTTAGTTTTAAGCTATATAATATAGTACTCTGCAAAATCGTCTCCAAAACCAACCCTTATTTCACAAAATCACAAATCATATCTGGAATATATGACTGCCAAAACATTGATCCACCGCTCCCCTTTAGAGCAAGTACAATAGAGCTGAGTCAGCGGGCTATAAGGAATAAACTAGTATATTTCTGCTTAGTTGAAGGAAAGAGAAGAGGAGAGAGAAGGTAAGCGGGCTCTTCGTGAAGAGCCAGCTCTAGCACGTGCTCTTAGGCACTTTGTGAGAATAAAAGATGGGCCACATAATAAAAAAAGTAGTATACTCTTTTGATCTACTATTGTACATGTTAACTATATAAGATGAGTTGTAGATGACATGGCACTGGCTTATAGCCAGCAGCTGGTTATACTTACTATTAACCATGCTCTTATCGGTCCATCCGTCGTCGTCACAAGGAAACCTTTTCGAAAACCAAAAAAGAGCCTTTCCGCCGTCCGCGTATTCCGTGACACCTCTTGGTTTGGTTGGCTTCGCAGTGCAGCCCAACCCACGCACGCATCTGCCAGTTTGCGCTTGGCTGCGCGTGTCTGCCCGCCCCACCCACTATTCTATACTCGGAGCCATCGTCCAGCAGACAGACCAGCAGCGCGGAGTGGAGGTCCTCTCGCTGCCGGCACCACTCCTCTGGCGGCGATGCAGGTTCCGGGCGACGTCGGCGGGGGTGGAGGGGAAGCGGGGGACATGCGGGGTCGGCACCGGATCCAGGCCGAGCTCAAGAAGCTCGAGCAAGAAGCACGCTTCCTCGAGGTCCGCCTATGTCATCCTTGTTTCCATTGTTACCTTCTCTCTGAATATTGTTTCCGTTGTTAGTCTGTCTCCGATATATAAGGGGAAAAGAGTGGTTGCTTTCTTGAATCTTTGGGCCTTTTCGTTGACTTTGTTTCGAAAATTGTTGGCCTAAGAACGGCAATTCTCTGAAGAAAAGCGGCACGGAAGCTTTTAGCTTTTCAGCCCCATGTTCTGAAGCATAGAAACTAGTTTGGGGTAGCAACTTCTTCGATCCGACGATCCCCATCCCTCACCATGCGCCACGAAGACCTCGACATGGCTGACCTCCGAGGTTCTCGCGCGTCCATCTCTCTCGCCTGCATTTCCCTGCGTCCCATGGGGTAGGGGGTGGGCCGCGGGTGGGGTGGGTGGGGGAGGGGGAGAAAGCGGTCAAAGGGCATATGTCCACATTCGGTGCCCCCTTGGTCGCGCACACCTGCTTCAGGATTTGTTGCGGCAAATATTCAGTTCCGTACTGGTATTTCCCGGGCCTTTTCTCTGACATGCACAGATCTGGCCGGCTATATCCGTTCCAGTTTCTCTGCCGAAGAAAACAAAAGCGAATTTCTGCTGCGTCAAATGATTGTGCAGTGTACCACTGAGGAATTAACAAGTGATGATGCACATGGGGTGTGGCGCGGCTGCTGTGGCCTGCGGGGGACCTGCTGCATGGGGAGCCATGTTTTCTATAGTTCGTGCCAGTGCGTGATCCAATCGTTGGAAGTCATTGGAAGGAGAAATCGGTGCTGGATCAACGTGGTTACCCAAACACAAGATATGCCTTTTTATTCATCGAACAGCTAAAACAAGTACTGTAGCAAACTTTTTCAGCTTGGATGCTTTTTTTAGCATCAGTACAAACACAAGCGCTCATATATACGCGCATACACTCACTCCTATGAACGTACACATGCACACCCTATCCTTACGAGCACCTCCGAGAGACTGAGCCGGCATATCATCTTGAGATTTACGAAGCCACCGTAGGCGCCTTGTCGTCGACGGGAACGTCTCCTCCCACTGAAAGGACATCGCCGAAAATCCTGAAATAAATCCAGGAATAATGCGAGCATCAGGATCTGAACCCTGATGGGTTGGGGATACCACTGTCCATCTAACCATCTCAACCACAGGTTGGTTCGCGATTTGAATGCTCATTAGTTTAGGTGGCAAGTTGGTATGCGGCCCATAAACTAGGGAACTGGTTAACTAATACTCGTATTATTTTGGTAGTTCTTACTTGGATAGTTTTGGTTTATTTACCTTTGGTTATTATTCCGAAGTTGTACTACTCCCTCTTATCCAAAATAAGTGTCATGGCATTGAACTGGTGTTAGCTCGAAACTATGACACTTGTTATGGGGAGGCAGTAGTATTTTTTACACCCTTTGCCAGTTGCAGAGCGAATGAACATTGGGATGTCACCCTAGCACAACATGTTATAGTTATATAGGAGGGCTTTGGCAATCTGAAGATTTTCATGCTCTATGAACAACTAAATAAACATTTTCTATTACTGTATGTGCTTAAGTTCTAATCAATTATGTTTCTATACTGCGATCAATTTCTTTAATTACAAAACTATGCTCATTATTATAACTACAGCATTTTGTACTTGCAATTTCAAGTTATAATTAATTATGAATTTTCTTTATCACTCCAAATTCTCATTTATTGAAGTTATTACAATCAGAGGCCAGATGAATATCGTCATGAATAAAACTCATTTGTCTTCTATATATATGCTTCTGGATAATCTAGATTCAAGGACCAGGGCCATGGCATTACTGGATGAATGAAAATTATTTGTCATCTTTTGTTAAATCTATTGTATTTTCTTTTGGGAAGTATTCTTGCAAGTTCAAATTTGAATAACGATATGAGTATTGAGTCTTGATTAAGATGGAGTAACATAGTTCTTATCTGGTGGTAAATTCTACTGTCGACATCCTATTACAATATAGTTAAAAATAAAAACAGTTAACATATGCAATCGTTTTGACGACACATCCAAATATTTAGTAACGGTAATCAAAACATTCTGAGTTTTTTTTGACAATGAAAATGCACGTGTGTTCTAACTGCGTGTAAAAAACAAAATGCAGTGGTGCTGCGTGGTTGTGTTCCAAAATTGCTTGGATAATGGTGGACATGAACGAAAGCCATATTTATGTACAAATAAGTGAGAGCTTATGATGCTTCACTAGTAGTAAATTCATTTTGAACAGTACACTCAAACTTCTCCATTAGTGCCACATTTCAGGGATGCAAGCAGAGAATGCTAATTGCATAGCAGGGAAAAACCACACGTTTTAAAAATAAGTTCATTTGAAATTTAACAATAGAGATGCTATTGATGAGCTAGGTATCTGTCCTTGACATAATTATCTGTAGATCTGGCACAATAGAATTTCTTACAAGATATGGGTATTCCCTTCTCTGCCAAACTGCTGATATTCTCAATTGAACTTCATACAGGAGGAACTTGAAGAGCTAAATAAGATGGATAAGGTGTCAACAGCACTGCAAGAGTACGTGTCAGAAAAAACTCAGATCAATTCACATTTTACTGTATGGTGTTACTTCTTAAAAAGCACCACCTACACTCTGTATTATTGGTGACCGGGGGCTGACTGCAGTATTAACCTTTTGTTAGGTTTGTTGTAACAATTGAAAGCAAAGCAGACCCTCTACTTCCTGTGTAAGTAACCACAAAAATATCCTACGAGTATTACTTTATCTAAGGGATTATCTAAACATTTTTGTCCACTCATAGTCTAATGACTTCTTTTGTCTGTAACTGCAGAACTACCGGAGCTGCTTACCAGTCTTGGGATAGGTGGTTTGAAGGTCCGCAGGATCTGCGCAGATGCAAATGCTGGTTTTTGTGACAAAATGCCAAGTAAGAGTGACACCAAGACGCAAGCAGCAGCGAGGACCGATTCTTTTCCCATAGAGTTTCTTCACAATCTCTGTTGAAGGAATGGTATGAGAAGGGTACTGTGGAACACGGAAGCAGCACCGAGGACTGACCAAGACTTTGTTCTTCAATAAGTTCTTTCTGTCTATTGCATTCCTGTGCATTGCATTATCTCTGGTGTTGGTGAAGTATGAGATCTTAGCTCAAGAATGTCGTCCTAGTCTGAGAAATTATATGAACTCTCTTATTTTTCCACCTAGTTATCATGTTGTTGGATATTCTGCAATCAACGTCGAACAATGAAAATTGACGATTATTTCTCTTATTTCTGAACTGTGACAAAAAAAAAAGCATGGATGTATGTTTGTTGCTGTGAATGGAACTTTTGCTATTTTGTGAGTCTGATTACAACATGAAGAATATGCAACGTACCATTTGATTCTGCCCATACTTTGAGTAAAAAGCCCAAACCTAATTCGGCCCAGCCAAATACTGGTAAAGGAAGCACAAGATGGCCACAAGTGAGGAGGTGACCTTATCCGAAGAAAGCCATGGCAGGGGCGCACACGTCACCGCCAGAAAGAACCCGAGCAATTACCAGAGTACAGAGGATGGCAATGGCGCCATCGCCCGCAAGCGCTTCCTCCTCCACCATCTCCCCTCTCCTTCCCTCCTCCCCATCCATCTCTGCTTTCCTTGCCTCCCACCCGGCCCTCACCCTCCTCCACACGCAATGCGCCACCATGGCTCACCTCCGCCAGCTCCACGCCGCGCTCGTCAAGTCTGGCCTCGCCAAAGACCCCATCGCCGCCAGCCGCGCCGTCGCCTTCTGCGCCGGCGAAGGACGCGACGCTGCCTACGCCGCGCGCATCGTGAGGCACCACCCGAGGCCCAACTCCTTCATGTGGAACACCGTCATACGGGCGCTGTCCGACGGGCCCGATCCGGACGCGGCCGTGGCGCTGTTTGTCGACATGCTCCGGTCGCCCACGCCGCCGGAGCGACGCACGTTCCCGTCTCTGTTCGCGGCATACGGGCGCCTCGGACTCGCCGACGACGGCGCGGCGCTCCACGGCATGGTGCTCAAGCTCGGGCTCGCTGGGGACGCGTATATACGCAACTCCATGATCGCCATGTACGCGTCCTGCGGCCGCGCGGACGAGGCTCTGGCACTCTTTGGGCAGTGCCAGGTGTTCGACGTCGTGGCGTGCAACAGCGCGATCTTGGCGCTTTCGAGGGCGGGGCGCGTCGACGAGGCGCGGGCTGTGTTCGACGGCATGCCGGACAGGACCGTGGCAACGTGGAGCACCATGGTGAGCGCGTACTCCCGCGCCGCGAGGTGCCAAGACGCCGTCGATCTCTTCTCCGCGATGCAGGTGGACGGCGTGGAGCCGAACGCCAACGTGCTCGTCAGCGTCCTCGGCTGCTGCGCCAGCCTCGGCGCGCTGGAGCAGGGCGCGTGGGTGCACGCGTACATAGACAAGCACGATGTGGCCATGAACGCGCTCGTGGTGACCGCCCTCGTGGACATGTACTGCAAGTGTGGCTCCATACACAAGGCTCGCCAGGTGTTCGACACCTCGAGATCACACGGCTTGGCCAAACTGTCGTCCTGGAACACCGTGATGCTTGGCCTGGCAGCGCACGGGCAATGCCAAGAAGCGCTCGCCTTGTTCTCCGAGCTGGAACCTTACAGTCTCCGACCGGACAAGGTCACCTTCATCGCGATGCTGATGGCTTACGGCCACTCCGGCCTGGCCGACGAGGCGAAGGCTCTGTTCGCGTCAATGGCGAGGGAACACGGTGTTACACCGGGAATCGAGCACTATGGTTGCCTTGTCGACGCGCTCGCCCGCGCCGGAAGGCTCCGGGAGGCGGAGGACACCATCCGCGCAATGCCGATGAAGCCAGACGCGGCCATTTGGGGCGCCCTGCTCTCCGGATGCCGCTTGCACGGCGACGCGGAGGCGGGGGCGCGCGCGGCGCGGGGAGCCGTGGAATGCGACCCACAGGACAGCGGCGCGTACGTGCTCGCGGCGAGTGTGCTTGCACGCGACGGCGAGGTGGGCCGGGGCTTGGGTGTCAGGGGGAAGATGCGGGAGGAGGGAGTGGCCAAGGTGCCCGGGTGTAGCATGATCGAGGTGAATGGTGTCGTCCACGAGTTCGTCAGCTAGTACAAGTGTTCAGCAGTTCAAGGTACAATACATAGCAACAGCAAAATACAGACTTGTTGTATGGAGATTCAGTTTGGGGTTTATGGTTTCAGTTTCGTTCCTTTTTACTTCCTCCGTCCCATAATATAAGATGTTTTTTTACTCTAGTGTAATGTTAAAAAGCGTCTTACATTATGGAACGGAGGGACGGAGGGAGTAATACATGTGCACCCACGTGACATGTCAAATACTTCATTTTTTCAAAACGGACACAAAAGTTAAACAAAAAGAATTACCCAGTTAATTGATGCAAAACCGAGAAAAACCGTTAACTTGGCCACATCTCGACTACTCCCAAAGTATGAATCTCCATGACCAACCCATGTCCCCACCAGACAAGCAAATGCCTACAACCTCAGCCCATGGATCACGACATTGCAAAATAACCACCATCAAAAACACATCAACCGATACATCACACACGACAATCCAAAAAGAAGAGAACAATCCATTAAGCAGTCACAGACGTCTTGCCTATGGCACCACTCTTCTTGCCTTTGCTCAACAATGATCTTTGGAAAAGTTCATATTTTGATGATATTGTTTTGTTACCAAAGGGTAAGGAGGTTGTATGTGTCCATCAAATACATGCGGATCTATCTACGTAGTGTAAGCTTCATATTTTCACTAAGGTTTTCGCAAAAAAATTAAAAATGTTAAGGACTACAAATAGGCTCAATGTGGTGGTTGACCATGTGCTCTGTCCGTCTAAAACGATAGTTATGCAAGAAAGAAACATCATTTGTGGAGTAATTTCCTACATGAAACCATCTGTGAGACTGTGAGATTCACTGGGGAAAAAATGCGGTGATATTTAGGATAGACTTTGTAAAACCTTATGACAAAATCAAATGGATGTTTATCCGATGGACCTTAAGAATGAAAGACTTATTCAAAAAATGGTGTGCTTGGGTCGATAATATAAATTTTGTCTATAGCGTAGCTATAAAAGTTAACGACGATGTTGGCCATTGCTTGCAATTGTAAATAGGACTACCGGGAAAGGAAGGAATTATTGTTCCATTGTTATCATTTTATATGTATACGGTCACAATTATTTACATTCCTGATGTGTGGGATTCTTTCCTCATATATAATGACATAGATAGGGCTTTCTTCTTTGATCCATTTATTAATAAAGTCTTCGAGGTCCAAAGGCACACCCCCTTCCCCCAATAGGAGCAGAGGTCATGGCTACCGGTAAAGCGCTCTATTCAATGTAACTAATGCCTCAAGATAAGTCGGAGACGTGTTCGGATTTATTGTAAAGCTATTCATTAACTCCTTCCCCCCATCGTATTTCCGGGTTGCATGTACTATATTTTGGGGCATATTTGCCTATATAACCAAAGGCTCGTACCTGGACACCCAACTTCTTTGAACTTGCCACCTCTGGTTCTTGAAGATGGAGTCGTACAACTACCAATGTTGAGGAGTCACACAATGCAATAAGGTCAAGTTGGAGGGATAAGGCAACTGACCTACACCCTTATATAAAGGCATTCAATGCGAAACCGGAGGACAATACACATTCGACGTCTCCTACGGCCCTAGACTAGCTTTACATTACATATGGTCTAGACAACTTTTTTTATATCGTCCACCAAAGAACTCGACGAGTTGACATCCAACCCAGCGGACAACATTGTCTTCCTAAATTGTAATATCCTCTAGGACAATCCCATACAAGCAAGAGTCAAGTTGCTACAGGGCCTGGACCTAGGTAAAATCCATGGCGTGTATATGTCCGACAACCTGACACTACCAACAAGTCTACTTGAAATTACTGTGTTCCTAGGTACTTTGCAAAACACCCTTGACAGATGGCACCGATAATGGGGACCTCACTTTGCCAGATTGGATCTTCAACACCACCATCATCGTGCACACAATCGCCCACATGGATCATGTCTCTCAAGCAGTTTGAAATCACCAATGGCTTCATCATATGAAACCCCATCGGTCGACAACCTTCATAGGATCGACAATCAAAAACATACTCGCCAATCTTTTGGGTGAGCAGCTTTTTTTGGGGTACCCCTTAGAGGGGTCCCACGGGAAGAATTTTATGCAAGTTAGGCACACTCGCCGTGGCTCGGGGCGAAGGAGCAAGCGACATGTGGCTTTGTCCATGGTTTTTTCTTCTACTTTTTATATTTGTTTCTTCTTCCGATTTTTAGGTTTTTTCTTTGTATTTCTGGTTTTCTTGTGTTCTATGCACTTCAGGTATACTGACTAAACACTACAGTAGAGGTTGCATCATGCGTGGAGTACAAGTTTCAAAACAGGGAGTGCATGTTGCACGGTGTGAGAAGTACAACTTGTGCCAGGAGTACATGTTGCATCATAGGTTACAAGTTGTGGTGCGCGTGAAGTACATGTTGCATCATGCCTGGAGTACATGTTGAACTAGGGGAGTACAAATTATTTTTTTGCTGGAAGAATAAGTTGCATTGCGTGGGCGTACAAGTTGTGCAACATGAAAGTACAGTACCCAAGGGGGAGTACAAGTATGTTATTGTGTGAAGTACAACTACATTTCCACAGGAACAAAAGTTTGTTATATTTGGTATTAAAAGTTACAACAACAAAAGTTCTTCAAAACCTATCAACATGAAACTAAGTTTCAAATGTCTCAACACAGAAACCATAACAGTGAAAACAAATTCATAATTTTGATGCTCGGTTCAAGAGATATTTTGTTTTCAAATTCAGATCTAAAAATGAAAGTACATAAGAACCTTCCATCCCCACCCATGAAAAAATCTACCAAAACTCTCTAGTTGCATCACCTATCGCTACAAGAATAGTTTCATAGGACTTTTTCATAGTAGCCTTTGCAAAGGATGCTCATTAGACTTCATATTTGCCGTGTAGGCCGGCAATTAGCCACCAATCACGTAGCCCCCTCCGCCCCACATGCATTTTGGGCCAGCCCATGTTCAGGTTGGTCACCCCTGTTTTGTTTTTTATTCAAAAACTGTTCACTAATAACAAATTTGAAAAAAGGGAATTTTGAAACTTTTCTGAATTTCAAAAACTTTCATGAATTTGAAAAAGTTTTGAATTTTAAAATATGTTCATTAATTTGCAAAAATATTTAAGATTTCATAAAATGAATTTCAAAAAATAACCATCAATTTTAAAAACATGTTCTCGATTTTTAAAAAATTTCATTCAATTTAAAAAAATGTAATAGATTAAAAAATCACAATTTCAAACATTGTACATGAGTTCTAAAATAGTTCGGGAATTCAAGAAAATTTCCAAATATATTTTTTGGGAATTAAAAATAATTCATGAATTCAAAAACAGAATTCAATAAATTGTTTTTGAATTCAGGAAAATTTCTTGAATACAAAAATTGTTTGCGAATTCAAAATTTGATAGTAATTCAAAAAATGTTCATGATTTGAAAGCTTGTTCGCAAGTTTGAATATTTCTCAAGAAAATGTTCAGGAACTCAAAAATATTCGTGATTTTGAAAAAAAACATGATTTCATAAAATGTCCCCGAATTTTGGAAAATGTTCACTATTTCTATAAATGTTTGAGAATTCAAGAAAATCATGAAATAAAAATATATAAAGGAAAAAAAGAACAAGTGATAAGGAAAAATAACAAAAGAAAAGGCCAGAAAAAAGGGAAACCAGTCTGGAATGTTGTTGCAAAAACCTGCATGGGCCAGCCTAGTATATGTCATAGTGAATGAACATGGTGTGTGTTTGCTGGCTACCTAGCGACGAAAGAAACTAACTAGCGGCTACCCATTGCGGGAGATACCCATCAGGAACTTTAGTTGCTATGAGCATGCCACTTGGTGCGGCCAGCACGTCTTTCTTCTCTTTTTGCACGAGTTTTTGATTTTTCTTTTGGGGGGTTTTGTTTGGTTTTCCTAGGTTTTGGCAACTGTTTTTTGTTCTTTGGGGGAAAGCAGTGATTTTCTGCAGGAAGCGACGCAATTGTGCTTCGCAAAAAGGGAAAACCATAGTTCTCAAAAAAATCACAATTTCAAACATTCTACACGAGTTCTAAAATAGTTCGTGAATTCAAGAAAATTTCCAAATATAATCTTTTTGCGAATTAAAAATAATTCATGAATTCAAAAACAGAATTCAAAAAAATGTTTTTGAATTCAGGAAAATTTCTTGAATACAATTTTTTTTGCGAATTCAAAATTTGATAGTAATTCAAAAAATGTTCATTATTTCAAAGCTTGTTCACAAGTTTGAATATTTCTCAAGAAAATGTTCAGGAACTCAAAAATATTCGTGATTTTGAAAACAATTCATGATTTCATAAAATGTCCCCGAATTCTGGAAAATGTTCACTATTTCTAAAAATGTTTGAGAATTCAAGAAAATCATGAAATAAAAATATATAAAGGAAAAAAAGAACAAGTGATAAGGAAAAATAACAAAGGAAAAGGCCAGAAAAAAGGGAAACCAGTCTGGAATGTTGTTGCAAAAATCTGCATGGGCCAGCCTAGTATATGTCATAGTGAATGAACATGGTGTGTGTTTGCTGGCTACCTAGCGACGAAAGCAACTAACTAGTGGCTACCCATTGCGGGAGATACCCATCAGGAACTTTAGTTGCTATGAGCAAGCCACTTGGTGCGGC